ATAAATACACCTATTCCTCAATAGACCTAAGCATAGTATCTCAATCGCTTGTGCCTCTATTTCACGGGAAAGTCATCACTAATCCCTGCGGAAGTGACAATTTTCCCGTAGTTTTGAGCACACCTACATCAACTCAATGCCCGCCACAGGTTTCAAAATGGCTATTAAGCAAAGCCAACTGGGAACAGTTTTATACCATCAATCATTTAAATTGGCACGACATGTGCACTTTAAGCATTGATGCTTCTGTCAACTACTTCACAGCGTTTCTGATTGATGCAGCAACAAAATTCATCCCACAAGCAAATGGACACCCTGGAAAACGACGTGTGCCATGGTGGAACTCAGAGTGCCGAAATGCACGCAAGCAGCAAAACAAAGCACGGAGGTTGCTTCGGAACTCGCCGACAGCCGAAAATCTTGACATCTTTAAGAATAAGATGTCTCAGGCCAGGAGAACGCATCGGCAGGCCAGAAGGGAAAGTTGGCACAAGTTTTTATCAGGAATCAATGCATATACCCAAGAGGCTAAAGTCTGGAACATGGTTGCTAGAGTAGCAGGAAGACAAGTCCATTCACTTCCACTCGTAAACACTCAGGGTGATGTCTTGGAAGATCAGGTAAATTTCCTCGGTGCACACTTCAAGCTGGTGTCCAGCTGCTCGCACTATACTTACGCTTTCCAAAAATACAGAACAAAAATAGAAGAGCAAAAACTCGAACACAAATGTACGAGATACGAGGCGTACAACCAAGCGTTCAGCTGAGCTGAGCTCCAAACATAACTAAACTCCTTCAGTGATTCCGCTGCAGGTTCTGACCATGTGGTTTACGAAATGTTACAAAGGCTAATGTTAAAAAATGGAAACGCAATAAAATGTTAAAAGATGGAAACGCAAAAAATGTTAAAAAATGGAAACGCAAAGAAACGTAAACGCAAAGAAATGTTAAAAAATGGAAACACAAAAACCTTACTTTGTTTGTACAATGCTATCTGGTTCTCTGGCGCTATCCCTACTTCATGGAAAGAGGCCATTGTTATTCCCATTTTGAAACAGGGCATGGACCCTTCTTTAGTTTAGAGTTATGAGTCTAATGCGCTTACAAGCTGCTTATGCAAACTCCTCGAAAAAATGATAAACTGCCGACTTGGATATTTCTTTGAAACGAACAATTTACTCTATTCATTTCAGTGCGGGTTTTGAAAGAGTAGATCCACCACCGACCACCTTGTTTGTATCGAGGCACAGATCAGAAACGCTTTCGTTCATAAGCAATGCTTTCTCTCTGTGTTCCTCGATATCGAAAAGACATATGATACAACATGGCGCTTTGGAATACTAAGATACCTGTCCCACCTTGGCGTGCATGGCAGAATGCTTACTATAATCGAAAGTTGCCTGTCAAACCGGACATTCCGAATTCGAGTAGGCAGCGTTCTTTCCCAAACATTTGCCTAAAAAACAGGCGTGCCGCAAGGTGGTGTACTTAGTTGCACACTTTTTCTCATCAAAATTAATTCTTTGCGCTTGTCCATCTCTCGCAACATCTTTTATTGTACATATGTCGATGACGTCCAGCTTGGCTTTAGATCTTACAATCTGGCCATGTGTGAGCGCCCGGTTAGGCTTGGTTTAAACAAAGTCCCCAATTGGGCTGAAGAAAAGGGGTTCCGTCTGAATGCACAGAAAAGCACGTGTGTCTTGCTCTCCAGAAAAAGAGGCATTCATACTGAACGCGATATTGAACTGCATGGGCAACGTCTTTCCGTTAATACCGAACACAAACTCTTACGCCTAAACTTGAACACCAAGTTAACCTTCATGCCACATATCAAATATTTAAAAAACAAGTGCATAAAAGCTATGAACGTTCTAAAAGTGTTGTCTCGCACTACGTGGGGAAGCGACAAGAAGTGTTTATCGATTTTGTATAAAAGCCTCGTACGTACCCGCCTAGACTATGGGGCAATATCATATCAGTCTGCGACACCTACTGCCCTTAAAATGATTGATCCTGTTCATCATCTAGGCATCCGCCTCTCTACGGGTGGTTTTCACACTAGCCCTGTGGAAAGCCTGTACGTGGAATCTAACGAATGGTCGTTTCGCCTACAGAGATGTTACATGTATCTTAAATATTACCTTAATGTATATGCAGACAAGGATAACCCATCACAATCCACAATCAATGACATGTAAAGCCTTGCTGTGTTAAAAAAAACAGCCTTCTATGAGACAGCCCTACTCACTCCGTTTGAGAGGCCTAACGAAAAAAACCGGTGTGCCACTCGAACACCGTTTATGGCTCCCGTAGTGTGCCTGCCACCGTGGCAAGGGCAGACGATAGATTGCGACGTATCTTTCCTTGAGGTTACGAGGCATGCACCAATCGCACATATCCAGACATACTTCTTTGAACTGCAACACAAATACACATGTCCTGAGTTTCTTACGGATGCTTCAAAGTCTAACACTTCTGTCTCGTACGCAGCCGTCGGCCCATCCTTTTCGGAAGCCGGCGTTCTGCACTCTGATTCAAGCATTTTCACCGGCGAAGCTCATGCGATTCTCGAGGTTGTCAAACACATTAAACAAATAAAACTACAGAAGGCAAGAATATATACAGATTTTTTCAGCGTAGTAAAAGCTCTGAAAACTCTTAGCAAGCACAAGAACCCTGTCTTTGTCTCGCTTTATTTGCTCTTATGCTCAGTCTGTTCATCTAAGCAGCATGTTGTAGTCTGTTGGATATCAGGACACCGCGAAATACAAGACAACGTTCTGGTGGACCAGCTAGCTGGATCCACCAACAAAACCGCTTTCAGTATATCGATACGTGTTCCTGCACTCGACTTGAAACCTTTTCTAAAACAAATGCTCAGGGGCTACTGGCAGAGCACATAGGACACACACACAGGTAATCAATTGCATGTCATCAAGCCGCAACTTGGTCATTGGCCGCCAGTATCAAAGTCACGCCACAAAGAAGTAATCCTTAAAAGGTTAAGAACAGGACATACACACACAACACATTCATTTCTTTTATCCGGGGGCGATCCACCTTTGTGTGAAATATGTGGAGAAGCACTCACCGTACTTCACATTCTAATACAGTGTAAAGAATTAGACAAGCTAAAAAGACACTTTACATTACCCTACAGACAACAGATACCACTACATCCTGCAATGTTCGTCGGTAGGGAACGACTTTTTACTCATAAATCATTGTTAGCTTCTGTAAAAGAAATTCGTACTTTGCATACCATATACCCGGGCATTTCGTAGCACGACCTCTGTAAAGAGGTCTCCACTGCGGTGGCTACACTCAACAAAGCACTTGCCCCGCGGCCCTTGGACGCAAGGGTGTGAAAGTGAGGCACTTGTGCTATGCCATACATGTCCACCATATTTTTTTATTATCACAAACTTTTGTCATCCATTAAAACCGTACACCTTTCACGGCATGGTCATGATTTTATAACTTTTATGTTTTTACCCGCCTTAGCGCGAGGAATGTTATGGCCCCTATACAGCCGCTTATCACAATCATTGTCCATATCTCTCGTAAGATGGACTGGCGCTCTTTGGCCATGAAATGGCCCTTGCGCCACAAAACATCAAATATCATCAAAGTTTGTAGTGTATGTAGCGAGTACGTATTTGGATAATAAAACAAGCGTGCTTCCTCCTCCTTTATACTTTGTCTTGTTTTTCTATCGCGCACACAGTCAGCGAGTCGTCATGCGAAGTAAAATTGCGTATTTATAACGCCACGAAAATGGTCAGCAACAAAAAAATTTTCAATTTCGCGCCATGTACCGCAAATTTTCTACATGGCTCTGACGTCATATTTTAATATTTTACTTTTTGCTTCTTTTAAGTTGTTTCCTCCATACCTAAATTGTGACGGGGACAACGAGCCGCCGACTACTGAATACATGGGCTTCTATGGAACTTACGCTGCCAGTTTACAAATACCTCGGGACCACTTTGCATCGAATACGCATTGTCCAGCCCAGGGGAAAAGCTGTTTTGCTTTTGCAAGGGTCACTTTCAGAATGTATGCAACTGTAAACGAACCCAACTGCAAGGCAGCGTCCGCGAAGTTGAATGTGATGACGATGTTTCTTCGAGTAGCAGGGCTGAGCAAGTTCTTACTGTGCGACGTTCCCCTCGTAAGAAAATTCACACTTTGAACAAATTTAAACCCCCAGATTCTTCTACGGAATTGCCCCAGAAGTCCGAATTCCTAACCATAAAAAATCGGTGAAATTCGCACGCTTGAAGGTCATGCAACAACTGTTACACAGTCGCATAACCATAAATAAGTCTCTCTGCATAAGAATATCCGCCGCTAAAACCGCCCGCCACAAACACTCTCATACCTTTTGCCTTTTTCAAACTTCACACAGATGTTTTTAAGTTCTTGTTCTTCCCGCTTGAGATCAGAGAATGGAATAACCTGTTCCCTCCATTACGAGAAACGCATCCTTCGCCACTTTCACAAAACTCGTAGAAGGCAGCTTGATAGCCTGAAAAATCTAATATGGTGTAACATTATTCTTTTGTCCTTATTAGAACAATGTGCCATTATGTTTTGTAGTTTGAAAAAATGTACTTGTATGTTGTCTGTTTTATTTATTTATTGTTGCCTTTTAGAATTTCTTTCTTTTGATTGTACTAAATCACCGCCTTAGATTGTTAACCAGTTATTATCCCTCTGGAATATACAGTAATAAAAAATTAAAAAATAGAAGCGCTGGTGTCTGACGTAGGGGAATCTCTTCGTGTTGCTTCCGGGTCGTCTGTCTCACGTTTATCATGGCGAGACTTCCGTCGACATTGGCTGAGCATTTTGCTTCTGCCTGTACCACACGTCAGTTTTTTTTTTACTATTTCCAACGTCCCATTCGCGTGTTGGACTGTTTCATGGCAGACGTACAGTTCAAATGACACGCTGCGTCACTTTGTTTTATGTTCGCCGAGGAACTTCACTTATCGGACTTCACGGCATTTAGGCTTGAAGTCTTCGCATTGAAAGTTCTTTTAAACATACAACTACGTCTTCTGCTCCGTCGACGTCGGCCAATGACTCGGTACCTCGTTCTATTTCTGCATTTTCCAACATACAACCCGGTCTAGCAAACCTGCCGCCATCCCTGACAAGTGAGTTCAGTCCACTCTTCAGTTCGAACTTGGGCCTTGCTAAGGGGTTCTCGCATCGGGTGAAACCTTTACGAGTATGCAGGCTATCACTTTCAAGCTTCGCCGTCTGCAATATTCACTTCTTGCGCAAGTGTTAAATGAGCTTCAAATAATATGGAGCTTTGAAATCATCGAGTGCATCGATGCTTCTGAATGGGAGCCCCCATTGTCGTTGTTTAAAAAAAATTCATCTATCTCTCATAGGAATCAGTAAAACACGAAAGTAAAATGTGTTACAGAGCTATAGTTGATTGTTTACTGTACATTGATATAAGATAACTTGCGCGATGTCTATTGATGTTTGACAGATATAGCATTACCTAATGTGGATGCATTCACGTGCACATCTACTCATACATCTACATCCCGACGACTAACGTTCCTCACTAGCTATTAAACGAACCATCGCAGTTATGTATATTTGCTGCTCCATTTTTTTACCGGTTACCGGGGCGTATAAGACAAGTAAACAACATAGAACACATTACTTTTCTCCGGGATAGTGCGACACACTCGACTTCCTTGAGGAGGACAGTAGGGACCGCAAGACCCACAACGTCGGCAGGGAGTTCATCCCTATCCTCTTTGGTCCTTCGCAAGCATGCGCACACTAATGGTGTCATTGATTGGCTGATTCGGAGTGGCTGACGACCTCTGCGCCGGAGCATTCCACTCTGGCGGAGAGCCACAGGAGGGAATCTACCAAAGGAACACACGCACTCCCTCTGGAGCAAATGGCAGGGTGACAATGGAACACGATTCGCGCGTCTTTCTTCTTGCACGAGTGGGCACGCTGCGAACAGCGACTATAGGCTAACAAATCGTGAGTTCCGACACCAGGCACAACCGATGCGACTGGCGTCTGTTGGCACGATTAAAGGTCGTACCGTTTCATGGCAAGATTCGCTTGCGACTTCTGGTCAAATCCACCGATTTTCGCGAAGTAGAAAATGTTGCTCCGTGTAGTGGATCTCGTGAAGGAGCTGCTCCATATATGCCAATGGAACATACAGAGAGCACTTTCAATCTTCGAATGGAATAGACGGCCTCCACGTGGAGCAGAAAGAAAGTATTACCGGAAGTGCTCCGAATCTGCCAATGGATGACAACATTAGTCTCGCCGGGTCCTTCATTCACCACAAAGTACTTTGAAAATTCTTGCCTTTAGCTGCCCGAGCCTAGAGCAAGTGCGCCTTCGTCATTTAGCACAACGGATAACCATCCCGGTCGCCCTTCGGACTTACATGGATGGATAAGATAACCGTTCCGCCAATCCTTGTAAAACTTTATGCATGAGTATAACTTTTTTAGTTATGTGTGATGAGCCTGCGCCATTTCTAGGTATCCTTGTTATGCCAAAGGGCAGTCTTTGGAATAAAAAGCTGTGGTATTTAACGGTTAGAGCAGTGCCAGAGAAAGCGACGTAATAGCCAGAAGAGCGTGACTGATTGGATGCCGAGCTCAGGCTGCCACCTACTCGCGACATGTAGGAGTTATTGAAGACCACTGCCTGACCAGAGAGAAACGCAACGCGTGTCGTGTCTTTCCTTTGGGTAGCGCGATTATTCACGGGCAAAGTGTAAGTGGGTAACGTGGCGTTACATTGAAGTGAAACAGGCACGTTTCAGAGGTCTCGTGTTGATGGACGCTATGATCAGTGCCGATGCTTGGGGTAACGCCGCCACCTAGGGGTGTGATAAAGCATTGACTAAATTGAACTTCTTTTGGAAATGTGCAGAATTTGACATATGCTTAGAAACGGCGCATTGAAAAAACTAATCACAGATGTTACGGTGAAGATGAAATTACTGTACTTTACCAAGAACGCTTTGAGAGGGCAGCGGTAGATATAAAAGACGTAGTTTTAAAGCGCACAAACATGTGGCGGCGTGACAAATAAATATACATCAAACAAAGGACAAACATGAACAAAAAAGAAGAGGAAGAAAACGGCAAAGTTCACTGGCTTCTTAAAAAATATGATCGTGGCGCAGTGAAGTGTACCCGGCATCTATAGTCGCACAACCAGAGGTTGTGGGTTCGAATCCCCTTGACGCAACATTTCTTCTTTGTCATGTAATTATACGTATTTTTTCGTCAGTTCCGTGACGGAAATGCGTTACTTAAGACTTGATTAACCCCGTCATAATGCGCTTTCGTAGAATGACGGCAGCATCAGAATCTGTGTAGAGCCGAAAAAGGCTATTGTTCCAGATAGCTTACCGTTACCACACACAAGAGCTTCTCCATGATTCATTAGGCGCTACACACTTCTTAAAACATCGCTCGGCTTCCGCTTACAATCAAGTTCTTTTGCACCTCACAGCAGAGTCCTGACAGTCTTCATCACTCACGATGGACTCTTCTAGTTCAAGATAGTACACTTTGGTTTATATTCTGCTTAATTGGTATTTCATATGATGATGGCAGTACTTTTGACTGTCGCCCTAGTGTGTTTTTCTATATTTAGGATGCGATCATTATTGGCAAGAATGCAGAACAACACCTCTTGAACTTGAAACAGCCCTTTAGAAAATCAAGGATGCGGACCTGAAACTAAACAATTGTGCTTTACGTTCGAGAACTATTTTCTAAGGCACAAGGTCACTGCACGTGGTATCACGCCACTTACAGATAAGATAGAGTTCATGGTTAAAACTCAGTACGATTGTATGGACAGATGCTTCTGACTATGGAATGGGAGCAGTCCTCCAGCAACAAGATGGCCAAGAGCTCGGCTCAGTCGCTTTCGCATCTCGTACGTTGTCTCTTGCGGAGAAAAAGAATTAGGTCGGGGAACCAGAAACACTGGAATGTAGTTGGGCATGTGGGCGATGGCACACACACCCTTGTGGTGGCCATTTCGAAATCCAGACCACCGTGCACTTCTTCCTTTGGTGTCGTAATAAAGACGTGGAAGTTGCTTACCCTAAATCGCAAGGAGTTCCTGACTGCTTTGCGATAACGTCATCGTCAAATACCACAAGGGCTCCACAAATGCTTTCACCGATGCACATGTGTCGCACAAACTCTGTCGCTCACTGAGCCAGCTTGTGTGGCAGAGGCCCTCCTCGACTGTGGTTGTCTAGAAACCGTGATTAGAGCCTAGTTTCTGGCCGCCACAAAAGTCCTAGGCCCACCACGACGGTCTAGTGGCTAAGGTACTCGGCTGCTGACCCGCAGGTTGCGGGATTGAATCCCAGTTGCGACGGCTGCATTATCGATGGAGGCGAAAATCTTGTAGGCCCATGTGCTCAGATTTTGGGTGCACGTTAAAGAACACCAGGTGTTAGAAATTTCCGGAGCCCTCTAAAACGGCGTCTGCCATAATCATAAGGTGTTTGCAGGAAGTTAAAAGTGACATATCAATCAACAAAATCAATTACTCGATGAGGAATTTATAAGAAAGGAAATTTCTGTTGATGATCTTCTACAGAGTGCAAGGTTTCTCGTGATTGCGACATTCTCACTGGCCAGATCATTGCCACCACACATGAGAGGCATCTTGGTATCACGCGCACCGAAGCGTGATTTCTCGAGTGGCTCTGATGGCCACGCACGTATTGGCCAGTTGAGACAGCAGTGAAAAACTGCCACATCTGTCTAGAGTAAGGTAAATCTTGCAAGGCATCTCCAGCACCATTGCAACCGGTTCGATGACCTGAAAGACCATGGCAACAGGTTGTTTTATACATCGTTAGTCCATTGAATTGTGCACCTCACAACGGCATACTGCTATAACGCTCGTTGATTACCACTTCAATTGGCAGACGTAAATTTTTGTCGTGAGCTATCCATGAGCACAATGAAAGACTTGAGAAATGATCTTGGTCGCGAAGGCTACCCTGAGGAAATTGTTTGCGGCCATAGGGCTGTCAAACTCACGTGAATTCATTACCTTTCTGCAAGGCAGATCCATCCATCTTTTTCATTAGCTAGGGCACTGCCCTTAGGAGAATGGAGAAAGAGAACGGTTGCAGCAGACATTCGGAAACTTTATTCAAGATGCGCTTCTCAAAGAACTACGACTCTTACAAACAGTCATAGACTACCTTGCTATTTACAGGGCTACTCCACAGGCAATTGGAAATTGGAACTGCAAAAAATTGCAAGAACTGCAAAAAAAAAGAAAAAAAGAACTGCAAAAGGCAGAAGGAACTGCGGTTTCCCCTGCAGTTCTGCTGTATGACAGGATCCCTCAAACCGGGCTGGATTACGTTGGCTTTTCAACGTCAGCCTTTGCCAAAAAACAGTTAAGAAATTGTCCCTATTAGATCGTAGAGTCCCGTGTCAACAGCACAGCTGCAAGCTGTAGAGTGTCAAAACGAGAGCTGTCAAGGAACCAGGGATGGCAGCAGGTGTCACTGCTCACGTCAAGAAACCACCTGTTCGCTTTAAGGCGACTGCATATTCTCAGCAACCGAAGTGTCGCAAAGGAAGGGACCTGCTTCTTACAGACTTGAAGACGACCGTGCATGAAATGCTTCCAAGCTTTCCAGTATTCCAGGGGGGGGGAGGTGCTTCTCACTAGCCAAAGCTACCTGGGTTGCAGTTTCCGGTCATGGCGACTTAGCCTGCATCGCTCTAACCTTCCGTGTCGGATCCGCCACCTGCTGCCATACCACTGCCTGCCTTGTCGCAGCTACCACCTGCTTGCGCACTGCCACCTGCCTTGTCACAGCTCCCACCTGCTGACATGTTTGAACCTGCCGGGCTGCACCTGCCGTTTTCTAAAGTAATGCAACCTTCCGTGTCACACACAGCCACTGTCTCCAAGCGTAGTGCAACCTTCTGTGCTGCAGCCACCCTCTGGGCGCCAGTAGCCATATTCTGGGGTACAGCAGCAGCCAAACTCAGCAGTGCAACGTTCAGAAAAGCTGAACCAAAGGCACCGGTCATTGGTCTGGCTTCAATACAATGAGACCAATTTTTCGTTACGCTCTTAAACTGTGTGTATTTTGGGCTTTGTAAATAAGTGGTGTACATGATAAGAACTTGTTAGTTGTTAAGAACTTGGTGTTTGTTACTAATATGTCCCAACCATGGACTAAAATGAAGGACGGAGGGGGGGGGGGGGGGGGGCTAGTGAGAAATGTGGCTAGTGAGAAAAACCACTGGCTATCATTACCGGTCAGGGAGAACTCTCGAAGGGTCGCTCACCAGCCTGCACTCTAGCAGGCGCCTGCCTCCCAGCTTGAGGAAGAGCTGGCTGGAAGGCTTATTGCGTACACTGACGGCTCCATCCTCCTAGACACAGGCTCGGCCACAGCTTCCTAGCTGTGTAATTCCAGCACTTGGTAGGAAATCTTCCTGTCGTCTCCCCTTTGCCGACTGCTCTACCGCTGCAGATAGTCGGTCTCCACCTGGACGTTTACCTCCAAGTGACAGACTCTTCAATGTGCCTCATGGCTGTTGTATGTCACTAAATAGCTGCGTTGCTGCTAATGGCGAAGCTGGAATGGGCAGCCGTCGGATGGCAGCTGCTTGTAAGCAAGCTGCATGCGCTCCTTGGCAGTGGCATTGATGTTTCTGTGCAATGGGTCCCATCTCATAGAGAATCCAGGAATATGAGCAGGCAGCCACCATGGCAAAAGAAGCGCTTCACTTCTTCGTCTCCGTATGCCATGCAATGGTCTCCTGAGAGTTTTCGAAGTTCACATTGAGGAGGCTACTATTACGCTGTCCCACTGAAGATCTTTTAGTCAGAATATAACCGCCCACCCGGCGGCCTGACCGTGGTTTCACCAAGAAGAAGAGATTCCTTCTACTTCGTTTACGCATTGGCTGCTTCTGCACTGCAGCCCGGTGCATGGCCCTTAAGATTGCAGGCGTGGGGCGTGTTTCTCTCCGGCCGTCCCAATCGCCGCACTCCCCAGCAGAGTAATGTGTATCACCTTGAGCACTTCGCTACCGTGAGAGGGCGTATTCACGGTGGATTCTGGTGGCGGCGGAGACCACGAGGGAAAGCAAAGCGCACAGGATTCGATCATGCGCAAGAATTTTTTTTGGCGAATGAGTGAAAATCACCGCTAAAGTTTTCTGGCTGCTCAGCGCACACGGAATACATAAAAATGGGGACCTCAATTTCCAAGCGAAATTAAATTGCCTCATTCTACGCTCACGAGTTAACCATGAATGAGTGGGTTCCTTTCTCATTCGTTTCATGGAACAACGGCTGCTTCACATTTTAACGCTGTTTCGAGAATTATTGCTGGCGCCCTAACGTGATCACAGCTGTGACATGCAGCGCGACGTGGTTTTATTGCTTTTTTTATTTATCCCTCGCGCGCCGAGCACTGTATTGCTCCTCGTTGAGCAATCCCACTGAACGCTTCTTAACTATACGGGAGACCTGCTGTGGTGAGCTCGGTAGGACGGCAGGCGTACCAGCTTAAGATGCGTAGACTGCTTGTAAAAAGTATTAAGACTACGCCGCAGCGCATGTGTAAATACATCAGTGCATATGCAAGAATTTCTGAAATGGCGCTTGAATGAGAAGCAGTGCTGATTCTGTGTAATAAAATAAAAAGTAATCCATTTAATCGAGTGTAAGCCATTAGCGTAGAACGCGGCGTCCATCTGACTTCGTTTGCCGATTGGTCTGTCATTTTGTTTCCTTCTTTGCCAAGTTTTGCCATACCATACAGCACGCTCGCTTAGTAGCATAGTAAATTTCCACAACATGCGGACCTCTTGCAAAGGCATCGAATTCACAAGTGCTGTAATAAGCGGGGCGGCGATATACTGCAAAAAAACGAGATTGGCCTTTGAGATTGACCCATTTGAGAATATACACGCCCCAGCATTGATTTTGCCCCTCGTTCACATTGACCCAACATTTCCAAATGAATGCGAGGTTATATAAAAGCACGAAACCATCTTTTTTTCTCGCCAACTGGAAGCTACACCAGCGCTACAGCCTTTTCGGTCCTCCGTGAAAGCGCCGCGGCGCGGAGAACGTAGCGGGCCACGCCCACCTCTGGAAACACCCTCTCCGTGCGATTGCGACGGCTGACAACCCAGAGAGAAATTCGCTGCGCGCCCGCCATCTCGGAAGCCATGCCCGGAGTCATCGGATTGGCAGAGCCTTGTTTTCTGCGTGTACTGCGTGCGGAGCAGACGAAACCACCCGGTACCTATTGTGTGTTTGCCCAGCGCTTCGCGCATAACGAGCCGCCTTGCTCGCCGCACTCCGTCGCCATGCGATGCCCGCAGCTACACCCAGGGACCTCTTTTTCCCTGCAGGGTACCACACCCTGGTCTTCCAGGTGGTTTTTCACTTTGTTGAGGAAACTGGACTGGACAACCGGATATAGAAGCCGCCCACTGCGTTCTCAGTCATGGGGGCTGTTTCCGTTCTTCACTCTTCTCCAAATTTAATAACCTCACCCCACTCCTGCAAGCTCATCATCTGTAAGCCAAACTGCTGAGCCAAACTAGGGCTGCAGAAGATGCGTCTTTTTTTTCTTTTTTCAAGCTCTCTCTCTCTCTCTTCACATCCCGAATGTCCATCAAATGTCTATTCGTAACTCCTTAAAACGCTTTGTGTGCGAGCAACGCTGACCGAAAAAACAAAGATGGCTGCGCTTATCAGGGTCAACGCGGCACTTTTGCTCGGCCCTGTGCTGAAGTTTCTTGATTGTGGCGTCTGATCGAGTTCTTTTGTCAAAGTCGAAAGGTTGCTGGCTGCGAACTGCCTTATTGTCATAGGCATAAAGAATTTCACTGGCAAAATAACGGAAATAGTTGCGCTGTGCACGCAAACATCGAGCGTCTTCGCTCAACTGCATCAGAACTACTTCAATTGAAGGACCTGTCTAGCGAGCCCGAGGTTGAAAAAGGCAACTGCTCATGTGTAGCAGGCTTCTACGTAAGGTGCTAGCACTACTGCGCTGCGTTGCTACGCTGCTACAGGCAAGGCCTTAACAGTTTTCGAGATAATTACGCTGCGACTCATGCTGCCGATTCCATGGATACCATTGAGTTCCCTTGCCCCGTCAAACGCGGAATACGCATGCTGTTCACTTGATTACAGAACAGAGATACACCTGGGCCAGCTTATCTTGAGATAAGACAACTACTCGTTTCGATTTTAATAAAAGTGCTCCTTTCTTTTCGTTTATCAATCCATCTTATTAGGTTTCTAATAAATAAGGTCGTGTGCTTCCGAGCACTCGCTTGTTCCTGTTGGCAGTAGTTGATATGCAAAGCAGATATATGCACGCACACTACGAGTGCAAGGACGTAATATATATACGCACGAACATACAAACACACACGTGTAATTTTCACGTGCGTGTTTGTGTGCCTGTATACATACAGAAATGCGAAATAAGTAATGTTTAGATAGAATAATTAGCACAGCTTAATTTGAGAACGGGCAGCACTACGAGTTGCGCAGAAAACGAGAAAATGTGAAAAATACACTCACACAGGCAATGCAACAAATTTTCTCAAGTGCTTCTGTAAACAAAACTACGCTCCACGCTGAGGGAAGCCCGAATATTGGTAATTCACACACGGTGGATAACGGTGTGCTCATCGAGAAGAATTACTTTGTCACGTGACAATTCATTTAAACAAACTACCTTAATGTGCTTTGCTTTCTTCCCAGTACGTCAGTTTTTTATTTGAGCCATTCTACGTCACGCGTCATCTGCATCCTTCGAGAAGTGATTGAACGATACTCTGCCATCTTTCCACCATAATAGCATGCATTGCGGCGCACTGCAATAATCTAATGATCTTTGGACGTCACTTTCTTTTTTTTCTCGGGCTTCCACGTGCGGCGGGGCGAAAATAAACTATACGGCCGCTTCCCAATGCGGGCAACGTGGTAGCACAGCTTTTCAAGTGTGAACCTGTTAGCACCGTTTCCAGACTCAGCCGCTAGGTGGCGAGCGCTCGGTCGGAGTACCAAACTGCGTAACTTCTAAAAATATAGCAAGCATTCTATGGATATATAAGGAACTTTCGTAGTTTGTTTGCCATGGGCGCCACTAAGGAGGCTCACCGAAAATGATGGTGTGCACTCACTCGAGAACGGCTGTATTTACAATGGAAAAATTCCACCATCACTTTTGAGCAAACAGATTAAGAATGAATACTTTGACGGATCAATCATAATTTAGAAAACAAACACAGCAGCCAAAGGGCAACCATATAAGGAAGATCTCAAGGTGACAGTCAGAAAAAAACAAGTGAAAAAACAGTAGTGAGCCTACAATGAGATGCGGTCACAAAACAAATGCTGAAAACGAGAAATACGGGGACAGAGATTGCATTGCTCTTCCCTAGCGTTCAATTAAAGTGGAGCTGCTTACAGTTTTCTAAATCTCTCGTTTCGTTTTTTTTACATCAATGCCACGCCTACTGGGCGGTAGTGAGTGAGTGAAAGACTTTATTCAATTCACATTACTATAATAATTATGCCTAGCACATCTTATCAGGTTGGCTCATTTGTTTTATTTTTTCTGTTCCACAAACAGCGATGGGACGACTACCCACAATGCAAAATACACTGTTGCTGGAAGTCAAGCTTATACAACGTCCAAAAACGGGAGGATATTAGTGTTGACCTAAGTGATTACGAGGGTGACTATAGTTATGAAGACCTGAAGGAATGCCAGCTGCACACTTTGCTAGAAGCAATGTCGTGTGGCGGGAACAAGGTACTTGTTACATCTTTTCACTTACATTCACTAGCTTCATGAAAGTGGCATTAACCTTCTCTATATAAGTGTTCATTACAAACTTGTCATGTCAGCGCCCAAAACGTCTCACCTAACTACGACCATAACTACGACTAAAGTTGTAATTGCAACAACATTGCCGTATTAGCGCGTTAGCAGCTGTGTAAATTTCACATTGTACTTTTTCGTGATAATAAATGTTCCAAATAAAAACACTGACCTACCATATTCTCTACCTAACAGTGGCAATGCATGTAACTTCACAGTTACGTATGAAATTCATTTGAAAAAGTTTTGTTTATCCGTTCCCGTGAAACGAAACGCAGGAAACTTAAGTTAGGCATCTGGAGTTACAAGTCAGCAAACACTCTCATGAGTCGACTCAGGCGAGCTCATATTGAGCCATGATTGCGAGTGTGACTTAGTGCAGGTGAGTAATAGATTGGTGAGTTTAGGTCTAAGTAAATCTGGTTGGCTCATGTGGCTCGACGCCGTTCTCGCTGTGAATGGCGTCGCGGACCAGCCGCTTATGCACGCCATCTTGCTCGACGCGCTGCCGGTCGAGTTTCGCCATCTTTCTACCACATCGATCACGAGCCCGCAGCCATATAACGCCCTCTGCACTGTGCTGCTCACCTGCTACGGCCTCACGTACCGACCGCTTCCAGGGTCCCGCGACTTTGGGGCTGTCACTGCGTCGCAACGTGTGCTAACAACCGGCACGCCACCCTCTAATGACCACGACCTCACCACTCCAGCTACGACTCCCTCTACCTCAGATACGGTCACAGGAACATTGAATCCTGCACCCGACCACGACGACGAGGTAGAAGACGCTCGCACTTCCACTGACTACACCACCGAGAGCTGCGTTCCGTTGGCGCCCACGTACAAAGGTTCGCCGCAGGTGCCTGCCACATGCACAATTTCCGTGACATCAATGGCACGCGACACCTCAGCGACCCCAGACTCCACGACGGCTACCTTGCCGCGCGCCTCGGAGTCTGAGCACGAGATATTTTCACCCATTATTCGGCGCCCGATTCCGGAGCTTCCACAGTCGACATTATCCAATGAACATGATCTTCCATCAACCTTGGCAATCGCATCCTGCAAGCAGCCACTACCATCTCCCTTGACGTCCCCCGCAGCTGAAGTTGTTGCCCGCGACATGCTACAGCAGAACTTCCGAGATGCCGCTACAATGACCAAGGACCAGATGACAGATTTTCTAATGGCAGAGCAGCCAGCACAATCTATAACCACCACACAGGCGTACATCCACCAGGCTTCCCCGACGAGCACGGGTGCGCCAGCCAAGTCTCCGGTAGAGCCCACGCTTTCCGGATCCCTTGGCCAACCTTCGGAATCTTGGAAGGGCGACACCATAACGCAACAATCTACCTTGAATTCAGACATGACCCTCATCATGACCAAGGTGACTACCGTCTTTGCGCGGAACATCGGCAGACCGATCACAGTGGACCTAACTGCCTGCAGTGACTTCCGTGCGCTATTTCGACCACGGCGTTTCCACGCCAGTTGACTCGGTCGTCCGTGCCGGCATGTCAGCCACACTGCAACGCTCAGGTTGGTGTTCCATCGACGGCTACGTCCGGGCCGCACTGCCAGCCCACTGCTCCTTGTCAACAGCCATGTCGGCGCCATGTGAGCTGTTGGAGACGCCACCGCATCCTTTATGTTTCAGTACTCGGTCGTCCTGGTTCCGTTTCAATGCATAGCACCATCTCGCCACCATCACCGGCTCGGCCTCCCCGGCGCCCTCCCACGGCTCCACCTGTGTGTACCTTTGTCAGACACGGATTCTCGAAGCACCGGGAGCGCTCTAGAGTGATCCCGCCTAGTCATCGTGGGACGCTCATGTTTATGGCCAAAGCGACCCGGCGCTGCCATCTTTGCCCGCTGTGTTTCTCCCAGTGTCGCCCGCCAGAGACCCACTGGTTGCCGATTGTCCCTTCCCGTTGACGACCTGGACTACTCATGGACCCCGTTTCGTTTTGCGAACCTAACTCGCTTGTATATACGCTCTCATTATTTTCATTCCGGCTTCGTTTCTGCGGGGGGGGGGGGGAGTAATGTTTAGCGTCATCATCATGGTCATTTTTCTAGCCACCGCGCTGCGCCTCTCGTGCAGCTCACGCGACAGCTCGAGGCGCGAGCGGTGGAGAACGAGCACAAGGCCTGGCGCTTAGGACGTGGCAGCCGCTGCCGCTCCGCTTCGGCAATCACATTGGATGATAAAGTGGCGATAGAACGACACGACCATGTTGGCCGCCGTCCCGTCTTCCTCTCTTGCTACAGATGGGTTGAGCTGTCCAAAACTGAGACAGAATTCGAGTTCCTCCGCGCATTGTTGATTAGAGAGAGGTTTTTGCATGGATGTGGTTCGAACCTGGCATCACATTTGAAGAAAGGAGGGCGGAATCCCTGGGAGACATGCTTGAGCTGGCAGACCAGTTTTTGGAAGCTCAGAAGACACTTGGGCACGCAGAAAACCAAGGACCGGATCTCGGAGGAGTTCTTTTGGCCAGGCATCACAGCTGACGTAAAAAGGTTCGTCGCCTCATGTGACATTCGTCAGCGCACCGTACCAAAGGGCCGTGTAGCACATGTTCCACTGGGGAGGGCACCCATAATCGACACCCCGTTCAAGCGAGTGGCGATCGATATAGTGGGACCAATTCACCCGCCCTCAAAGCATGGGAACCGATACATTTTGACTTTGATGGATTGTGCCACCCGGTATCCAGACGCAGTGGTGCTCCCGAGTATTGAAACTGAGCGAGTGGCCGAAGCCCTGGTCGAGATGTTCTCCCGATTTGGCGTCCCCTGCGAGGTACTGAGCGACCATGGCACGAACTTCACATCGGACCTGATAAAGGAAGTAGCGCGGCTCCTTTCCGTGCGCCAGCTCCACACCACCCCATATCACCCCATGGCGAATGGCTTGGTTGAAAAATTCAACGGCACCTTAAAATTAATGTTGAAGCGCGTGTGCGCCGAAAAACCGAGAGATTGGGACCGCTACCTGGCACCTCTCCTCTTTGCCTATAGGGAGGCTCCGCAGGCCAGTATGGTTTTTCACCCTTCGAGCTTTTCTACGGCCACCATGTGAGGGGACCCTTGGCGATACTGAAGGAGCTGTGGACGAACGCCGACTTGACTGAAGAAGCTAAGACGACATACCAGCATGTCTTCGACCTTCGGAACCGTATGGAGGAAACGTGCCGCCTGGCACACGATGAGTTGGAAAAAGCCGGAGCACGGTACATGAAGATGTACAATCGAAAGGCGAAGGAGCGGAGTTTAAACCCCGGAGACAAGGTACTGATTTTACTTCCCACCGACACGAACAAGCTGCTGCTGCAATGGAAGGGCCCTTTTGAAGTCCGGGAAAAGAAAGGTGAAGCTGACTACGTCGTAGACACGGCTGGCGGCAGAAAAATCTTCCACGCCAACTTACTGAAAAGATACGAGGAGAGGAACAGCCCCTCCACCAAGGTGTGCAACGTGACATTTGGTGTTGTGGATTCGGGCGAACACGAGAATATTCCAACCCCTGATTGGCTGAAAGTAAAAGGGGAAGAAGACGTGAAGCTCTCCGACAAACTGGGCGCTCAGCAGATCAGACAGCTGCAAAGAATTGTCAGGGAACACGCTCGTATTTTCTTGGATGTCCCGGGCAAAACTGACTGGGTCCACTGCAACCTCGAACTCACCACAAGTAACCCCGTCCACGTGAAACAATAGCCTCTTCCCTTTGCAACGCGGGAAGGTGTAGAGAAAGAGGTGCGGGAGATGTAGAAGCTTGGCATCATTGAGAAATCAGAGTTACCTTATAATTCGCCAGTCATTTCGGTAAAGAAACCCGATGGTACATATCGACTGTGTATCGATTTTCGAGGCCTGAACAACGTTCTGGTGGCAGACTCCGAACCTATGACAAGAACTGACGCGGTGTTTGCTACAGTGAGAAAGAAGAAGTATTTCTCGAAGCTCGACTACGTGAAGGGCTATTGGCCGATCCCGCTGACTGAAGAGTCCAAAGCGAAGACGGCCTTCTCGACGACATCAAGACTATATCAGTTCCGCTTCATGCCATTCGGCATCAAGATAGCGCCTGCTGTATTTGCTAAGTTGATGCGGAAGATTGAGAAAGGCGTACCCGGTGTGGACCATTACTACGATGACGTACTGGTGGCCACCGATGCATGGGAAGAGCACCTGAGGTCTCTGGGACTGCTGTTTGAGCGCATACAGAGGGCCGGGCTTACAGTGCGCCCCAGTAAATGCGAACTTGGTGTGGAAGAAATTGACTTCTTGGGACACCGAGTTGGCAGGGGCAGATTGCAACCGCTGGGGAAAACACTCGACAAGATCGAAGCTGCAACACGTTCTTCAACCAAGCGACAAGTGCGCGCCTTCCTCGCTTTGACCGGGTACTATCGGGAATTTATCCCGAATTACGCAGACGTCAGCGCTCCCCTTACAGATTTAACCCGGAAGGGCGAACAAAAGGCTTGCTACATCAAGTTCTGAATTGAATGGCCTAAAGAAAAGCATTAAGCTTTGTATCGTATAGCCACTGCCCCCTTTCTAGGAATTTCACTTTTACTGTCAGGCTCATCGTGCTTAATACTCTATTTCATTTGTTTACAGACGTGCTGGCGAGGTGTTTGTGGTGAGCATAACTGGACCAAAATACATGAAATGTATCATACTGACCGCACATTCTAGACATGACATTACTTCTGCCACTTTCACGAAGAACAACTTCAAGAATTGAATGATACGAAATTTGTGCTGTAAGAGCCCAATACTAGGAACCAGTGAACAATTATAATAAAATGTTTGTTTTTACCAACTGAGCCATTTGGATATCCCCGCATTTGTTCTGTTTTCTCATACAGAAATACGACAGCAGCCATATACTATTTTGAGAAAGTGGCACGTGCATACTGGAGGACATTACTTGAGAATGACGAGCAGGTGTCATCTGTACAATAAAATAAAAAGCGAAAGCAGGACGTGGTATCTTGTGAATTCGCATAAGACGACTCAAAAGGCGAAAGCCGTTTCTTTTGTCAAATTTTTCTTCTCAGTCAATTGTGTTAATCCATCTGCCTTAAATGTTTTTGTACCTATTATAATTTTGCATTTTATCCTTGATCCGAGATCGCAGGCGCCGCAATGTTTTTGCACCTCACGTGGCTTTCCATTGCCACCGAGATTGGCTCACTTTTGCCCGAGCGATAATTCCGCGTCAAGTCGTCATCACGAGAAATCGCGTTGCGTGACGGCGCGATGATTTTGTGATGATGTCGCAAATTTCTGCGATTTACCGCGTCACTATTATGTCATATAAGTACATAATCATGTGGCGATTGTTTAATCACTCAGATTTACGCCGACGCCAAAACCGGTGGTTGATTTCCGCGTCTTATGATGCTTGTAAGGCTTTTGCCCTAATCGCATCTCATTTATTGATGGTAGTCAAGAGAGAAGCAATAGAGAAAGAAAAGCACGGAGGTCAATCTATTCTGCTACCTCACGCATGGGAGGGGGATGAAAGAGGTGTAAGGAATGTAAGGGAAAAAAATTGGTGCCGTGTCTGCATGTAACCTGCAAATGTCGGCGAAAGACGATAGTCTTGCGTGTGGAGAGAGTGAACAATTTATTCTATGTTTTGCGCAAGAAAATTGGTGAATGGTATTTTGGAGGTGCTGCGTTCGAGTGCCTCGAGCGTGCAGCGGAGGCGAACAAGTGCATTGAGTCGCGTCCCACGTTAGAGTTACTGTATATGCTACCTTTAGGTAGCAGAGTTGCGCCACTGTTTTCCGGGCGCTGCTCGCTCCGTCTACAGGAGATCAGCGCCCCTGTTTGCCTAGCGCCGTCTCGTGGTCATAGGTGGTTCATTTGCACTGCGGAGAAGCCAACGCTACGCAGTTTCCGGGCAGATCAAGTGGGGTTGACAACGGCTGTTGTCATTCTCGCCGCGCTTCTTCGGTAATGTAGACATGCTGCCTGTTGGTCACGAGAAATGCGGTAGCAATTTCATTCTGTGTGTAATTGTACTAGGTAGAGCCCATGCGAATAAACGCCGGTGCAGCGGGTGTTGCTATAGAAAGATTAGTGTTCAGTCGGAAGGAATAAACGCTTGGCCATTGTCGTCGGCCAGATTTTCTCTTGGGGGTGCAAACCATTGTTGCATTGTGACTTAGGGAGAGCGAGAGCACTAGTATATTTTGGGTGAGGGCAACTGCTGTTGTGGTTTGAGGGGGACAAGGGCCCCTTTTACACTTCTCTGCTGACGCCCATGCGCTTGGCTTTTTTTTTTTTCAATCTGTCCATGGCACTGAAAACTTGCTCTATTTGTATTAATGACAAATGCAGTTGCGATTACGTTATACATCTAGAGTTGGCCAGCGTGTGTCAGCTGCATACGTCCAAATTAGTCTGGCCGTTAAAACGATAAAAATAAAGAGAGAATGTAAACCAGAACGCTGGGAATCGGCAAGGTGTTGCTGCTAGTGCGTGAATTGATTGCAGCTTTGAAACCTCAAGCGAAAAGAATGCTGAACACGGCATTGTTGTTGAACGACGATTCACATCAATGGTCGTGAGCCGCGATTGTAATACGATCGCAATACGACATGCGCGCTTAACGTTGGTGTCGCACGGTCACTCTCGATCGCTATCCAGCTCGATTCAGTTGAAGACTACAAAGCCTTGGCTGGTCAACTAACAGAGTTAACTAATGAGCCGAACGCGAAGAAAGTATTCCATTCCTGGCTCGATAGCGATCAAGAGTGAAAAATAATTTTATATATTGTAAGACAGTAGCAGCGTTGGAGTCTCAACGGCGTTTATTAGGCCGAATCGCCTGATCAACCCTTCGAACGAAGACGACGTGTCGTCAATATTGTGCTTACAATATGTAAACGGGAAAACCGTGCAAAAGAAGCCGAAGCAATATGTACCACTGGTTCAATAAGCTGACGCCACACGTTTTTTTTTTCATTATTTACCAAAAACATAAACATAAAATCAAGGCTTCCAGGCGTGAGCAGAGCAACTGAGTTTGTCTCGTACGTTCATAAAAAATAGAAAGAAAAAAAGCAAAAAAAATAAAGCAGCGCTATGAGCGCGAGTGCTTTTCCTACGTGGGTGGTGAGAGGTTTTCCCGCAAGACATTTGAACCCAAGATGGCGTACCTTGGCGCAACTTTGAACCCAGATGGCGTACCTTGGCGCCACTTTGCTACCTAAAGGTAGCATATGCAGTAACTCTATCCCACGTGAGACATGAGCGCCACTTGGCAGTCTTCTTTCAAATAGAAGCGCGTGGCTCTCAGAGGGGTGTGCGCGCCCGTCTCAGATGTGATAAGGTGAGGAACGCAAAGCGACGGGTAGGTGCCACCACTATCGCGTCTTAGCAAAGCGTTGGAAACACTCACCTTTTCGTGCAAGCGTTGCATGGCCAGCGCAGCGTGATAAGCGCTACGGTCCTTAAAACTACTTATGTATGCATTTTCTAGTAAAAGATGTACATGCAGAACATATACGCGTTGTTATGGTGCCCCAGACGTGCGCAATAATTGCTCATTAATTGACAATATCACAAGTATGAACGCTAAACCTTGAGCAGCATTTGTGGGTGCTGCGGGTGAAGCCAGCCGTTTAAAATATCCGGTGCCGTTGAGAGTGGACAAGCAGACAATGTACAGACAGAGAGACGGACAGACAGACACACCAAAATTTTTGCGTTGAAGGTCCTCAAGAAAGACTATCGTCTTTAAAAAAAAGGAACCAGCGACAAACAGCACACACACACATTCTGTCTCAGTCAGTCAATCTGGCGTGGTACGAGACGCTACCTACTTTCACAGCAGCCTATAAGAGCCCAGATTTCTTGAAGGACCAATTACAAAATTTCGAGCTCCCGATGTGGCTTTCTCTTGTTACCTTGATATGCTAGAGTTGTCCGAGCAAAGTACGAACTCTGTCTTTTACACCAACAGCATTCGACGTGTGCAACAACCACCCAGGCCATGCCACAGGCGCTGAGTGATGATAACGATAATGCCAATGATCTCAGTGTTGTCGTCGTGATGCCGACTGGCGACGACTCCGGGATGCGGCTTTCCTTCGATTGTCCGGGTTCGTTTTCTGAACTCCCTTGACTTCGCAGCACCATTTGAAATGATTCGTCTTGGGCTCGTAAGCGTAGGATATGTAGGGATGATGATCTAAACTTAACTACGAGCCGGTGCGTCGTGAAACAATTGTGCGCGATTTACGCAAGTGGCAAGGTACCGAAAGAAATAATGCCTTCGTTGCAGAAAGCTGCAATGGCCATTTCAAAAAGCTTCCACTTAAGACTGCACACGCAAGTTTCGTCTGTTTATCTATTTTCGTAACACATTGAACGTTTGACTACATACCCAGAGACTCAGAGATTGCACTGTTCTTTGTAGTTTGATGGTGACATGGGTGATGCCAAGCAGGGACGCCTGACTGGTGACGAGACGCGCATATCATCGAAGCGTGTCCGTGTACGTTGGTTCGTAGTGAAAGACGCGAAGCGCGCATAATGAACAGGCAGACCTGAAAGGTGTTCTGAACCACCAGGATGCATTTCACATTTAGTAACAAATTGTTTATTAACCAGCACATTGATTTATTGTGTAGACAGGTTACGTGCGCCTGTCGTGTAAACAAAATTTTATCTTGTATTTTCTTGTCAGCCAGCATGGAATAAATGCGCGTCCCCAGGCACCTTGTCATCACAGCTCGGGCCGGCATCGGGTTCATTATAGGTTCTTTGCACAAGATCAAAGCGAAAATAATTAGTGACATATCATATCCTCCTATTCCTGGATTTTTTTAGGGACAAACCTCCTTAAGGCGTTGGTCGTGCGTCTCCTGTATGTATTTAACCACCTCTCGTTTTAGTGTGTGAAATGTCCGCTGGATGGCGGTATGGTGATTCTATGATGAAAAGATGCGAGATGGCGGTACTTTGAGTGTTCATTTGATTGACAGACACACAGACAGACAGACAGACAGACAGACAGACAGACAGACAGACAGACAGACAGACAGACGGGCGGGCGGACGAACGGACGGACGGACGGACGGACGGACGGACGGACGAAAGCTTACAGCAAATGATTCAAACTTTGCCAATGAATTCTTTGAAGCTTTGCCCCACTCATCATCATTCACTCCGTGGATATGCTGTGATTTCCTTTATATAGGTATTGTAGACACAATCATGGTGGTAAGGAAAGTGCACCTAGCAGTCCAATAATTAGCTGAAGCTCACATCAGCGTAGTGTGTGGACAGGGGGTCCGGTGATGCCCTCTTAGGACGTGCGCGCGGGATGGGACTCCACGACTGCCAATTGGTTAACTTGACGCCCGTTCCAAATCACCCTCGAAACTGTCCCTGCTAATGAATATTGCAGATATTATTCTTCCCTCTTTTAGGGGCGGAGCTCCTTAAAGCGGCACTCGTTCGTTCCTCGTAGTCGTAGTCGTAGTGTGTAACAAGTGTTACATTTTGACCTGCAAGGTGGTGCCGGTGGGAGATTTCTCTGGTGCTTTGTTGAACAATAAAAAGTTCTTGGCGTGGGCGTTAACTAAAAGCCGAATGCTCCTGTCTCTCATTCCCCGTTATCAGCCATTGGCATGTTCCAGTAGGAAACTTTAGAAGAAGTAGAAGTATTAAAAGCCGACTTCTGCTGTCTTTCACTCCCAGTAGCAGCCATTGTTTACCTCCAAGGTAGTGCCTGGTAAGATTTCTCCTGTGCGTGATTAAACAATAAAAATTTTTGTTCAAAACGCCGTTGATTGATGAAATAAACTAACGAAACAGGCCGGATGTTTTCTAAAAGCAAAACGAAAAGACGCCAGATGTTTCTAAAGCAAAACAAAAAAAAAGCCAGCTGCTTAACGAAAGACGCCAGGTGTTTTCTAAAGCAATGGTTTTATAATCAAAACCATATCGATACAGGTTTGTAGTTGCCGATGCTCGTTGCCGTCGGTGTACGCTCGTATGGTACATCGAGCACTATCTGACAGGAAAAGGTTGCTACGTTATACTCCCTGGGCACAACCTCCTTGGTTTTGAAAAGGTTTAGCGAGCATTGGGCTGCAGTGCCATGAATACAGTAAACTAGTATATACCATGAACTCGAGGGGGTTAAAGGTGGGAAGTAGACCCGAAGCGCAAGCCGTAAGAAAGTGTGCATGTGCCACCTCTCATTTAGTCCTTGGAATGTCCGCTGGATGGCGGTGCTTCTATATGAGGAATTTATGATGAAAATATGCGAGATGCTGGTACTTGGAGTGTTGAATAGATGGACGAACGGACACACAAACAAATGCATAGATGGACGCATGAAAGGACGCAGGGGTGGATGCGTGGACGAACGCAGGGATGGACGCACGAACAGACACACGTACGGATGGGCGGATGAACGCATGAACGGTCACACAGACGGACGCATGGACAATCGCAAGCAAGAACGAATGAACGGACGAATGCTTCGCCCCACTCTCCATCATTCACTCTGTGGATATGCTGCCATTTTTTAATATCACCTGCGAATCGTTGCTACAAGGTCGATGACTGAACGTGACGCAAAAAACGCGACATGCGTAAACCCTTCAGCTGCAATGACTTCAGAAGCTACAAAGATTGCCCTTTAGAAGGCTAAATTTAGTGGACCCGTGGTGACTGTATGTGCCCCTGTACTGAGAACACGTGCATTATTTTTACACGCTTTATGCCATCAGCTGCATCACATCCGGCAGAACGGCAGGATGTTCTATTTCCTTGTGAAATAGCATCCTGTCGCATGACTTTGGTATCCGTTCTTCTTTGAATATTCTCCACATGGCTATAGCGACCGTTCCAAGCTGTTTTGTCGACACTTGTATGGGCTATAACGCATGCAATGTACGACACATGTGTCTTTTCATTTCGGGAAAATTTACAGATGGGCATGACTTTTCGTTTCGGCGTGAACCATAAAAGGAACGCTGTTCCATGTCAAACCTGGAGTCCGTTGCATTCAATCGCGTAGTAGTCAACATGGTGACCCTTATTCTTACAGCTATTGCATCACTGCTGGCTGCGATAGAAGCAGGATCTGGTAAGTACTGTCCCCACGTTACTGGAGTAATTCAGCAAAGATTCTCGAAAAGTGCACTTTCATTAAGGAACTGTTACCTTCTAGGTGTGCTTCTTGCGGGAAAGCGATTGCAGTGCGTAACGACAATGTCGACAGATATAGCTCGCTTAGCACAATATTTAGGTCAGAATATATTCGCTAAGAAACAATTTTCAGTGTAAGAAATGCGTCTAACAGTTTTTGTGAATAGTGAGGAAGGTCTAGAAGGAACCTTCACTTAAAATTTACTAAGTGGGTCTTGGAGAACTAATCGACATTCCTGAGGTGAAGTTAACTCACGAATACTCTGCTGTAACTATTTATTGTTCAGTACTCACTAGAGTAGCGATGCACACTTTTTTTTGCTTAAAGACATGTTGTCGGTTGACAAAGTGTTAGTGGCATCGCTAACCGGTCCACTTTTTAAAAAAAACTATTTTTGTTATCAATACCTTAATTTGCTTGTAGTACCAGGAAATAGACCAATTACCATGCTGCATTTAGATGAGCATGAATTATTGTGATGTCGGGCGAATTTAATGCAGCTTAGCACTAAAGCTTTCCTTGGTTACAGTTGTGCCTTGTTGATACACGGAGAAACATTTTGTGCGGCAACTGGACAATAAAATTAGCGTAATCGTGCGATGGGCTAGTTTGCATTACTGAAGGAGAAAAATGCCCTCACGTTATTCTTAATCTAATCTCATCATGCCGGCGAATACTTTTGGTCTCCTTGTTATGCAATGGTTCCTGACTTATTGCATAGACTCTCGCACGAAGTGCTCAAGTATTTATCAAAATTGCTTGAAGGCAACCGTATTTAAAAAACTTCACAGATCTCACTTATCTTGGGTGTCCACTTCAAGTGGAACAGTAGGCTATTCGTGGCCTATGTCATTTTTAGTGCTTCGAGCCAAGTATTGTGACTTGTACGAACCTGCTCGTGTATTTTGAGTAGTTTTGTATATGCCACGTTGGTAGGCCAGTATTTAACGAAGGTTCTTTTTCGGGGCGGTGGGGAAAAGGTATGTGGCGAGCACTTGCCGAAGGGTCTGAATATTTGATGAGAACACCCATTTAACAAAAGTACTATATTTAGGAAGCCACAATTGTGGCGGTGGAGGCAAAGACCTATTCCAGGGTAGCCTAAGATATAACGCACGAAGTAGCAAATAACTCGTGTGAATCTTATGTATCCAAACTCAACAGAACGCTGGTTTAAAGGAATGTGGCCACTCTATGGATCAAGGCGGTTTTCGAGCTGCAAGTCCTCTGTGCGATAACTAAGCATCCATACAGCACTGAAAGTTCACAGGTTATCTCTTGGTGTCTGTCGAGATAGCACCCACTCCAGCGCTCCCGAACATGCCCTTGCGTGAAAAATTTTTAGATGCTGCATGGGCGACGTACGTAGCACACCCCCACCGCCAACCGATGCTCCTTCGCCTGACCAAGGAGGCCCGGTGCGTTTCCTTTCTCAATGAGGAGTCGTGCACTGCTGGCCTCACACATGCATTGTTTGATGTATGCGTTGTTACTCACGCATAGATCAAACAATGCACGGGGTGATGTTATTGAAGGTTCATACGGAACATGATGTCAACGGCGATGGTAAAAAGGTGGAAAGTTGCCGAGAGTGTGCATGTCACTTCTTCCGCATTGAAACCAGCACTGCAATCTCATTTGTTTTAAATTTCCTTTTTTGTTGTTTTGTTACACGCTCAAAATGCGTTGATAATTTTATGCCCAGGAAGTACACGAGACACACGTGAATAAAGTTTGCATATGGCTCCTTTGAATTGGCGATATTTGTGAATACAAATGAGTTGCATTTGAAACTATCCTACAGTAAGTAAGCAAGCCTTGCCTGGCGAAGTACCTTCCAGTGGCAGCTTCAAAACTGCTCCAACTCACGATTAACAAAAAAGGATACCATCCCACCTTGGGCACCCGGAGTATGCTTCGCTAAGTTAATTATTTTTATGGTGTGATTGGTGAGCGGCAACTTCAAAAATAGATCCCATGCTCCATATAGCCAGCAGGCAATAAAAAGGCTTTCACACTCGCCGTCATGGCTACGAGTTGCGCTGACTAATCCTGCTACTTCTACACGCTGCCCCGCCGCGGTGGTCCAGTGGCTAAGGTACTCGGCTGCTGACCCGCAGGTCGCGGGACCGAATCCCGGCTGCGGCGGCTGCATTTCCGATGGAGGCGGAAATGTTGTAGGCCCGTGTGCTCAGATTTGGGTGCACGTTAAAGAACCACAGGTGGTCGAAATTCCCGGAGCCCTCCACTTCGGCGTCTCTCATAATCATATGGTGGTTTTGGGACGTTAAACCCCACATATCAAGCAATCAGGTGGTCGAAATTTCCGGAGCCCTCCACTTCGGCGTCTCTCATAATCATATGGCGGTTTTGGGACGCTAAACCCCACATATCAATCAATCAATCAATCAACCCCTTTTACACGCCAAGATATGCCAAATGAGGTGGATCGAAGGGCGACCACTCCTGTGACTCAGTCAGTATGGAGCATCGGATGATTTATCCCAAATTCGAAGGTTGTCTGTTCTTGAACTTTCATAAGAATTACTGCCAGTAACTTTCCTTGTACTTATTGGGAAATGTTTATTAATTTTCTTTCAGGTTGTGTCTAACAAAAAAAATCTTTAAATATGACATCTTTCGTTTATTTTTACTACGGTAATTCTTCTGAGCCGCAAATAAGGTAACGCTACCTCCCATTGAATATGTTCCTGTTCTTTGCAGCGCCCTGCACTAGCCTCACTGTGCCTGACTTTCTAACTGCTGACACGGTAAGCTGTTTTATATGCATCAACCGGCCCCGTGTCAGACATCAGTGGATAGTAACAAGTCTAGCATATTCTCACCAAAGCGCTCCATTGGCGCATGTTGCTGTGGTGCACACTGGGCTCATGCTGCAATTACGAAAATCTGGAAGCCCGGGTACCTTCGTTTTTATCACCACTCTCAATACTGCTTTACCCTCAGTTTCACATCGTTTCATGCAAGGTTTTTTGGGTAATTTGCACCTATTATTGTCATCCGGAAAGGTCACTACGGGTGGAGGCGATCAAAGCAGTCTTCAGCTTCTTGAAGGAAACAGACTTGCACTGGTGGTTATAGACTAAAACTGCTATGATGGCTGTGCAGTGCGACTTTGTGTGTGTGTGTCCTCTCCTTTATTTGTTCCCATCTTTCTAACCCTCTAATCCCTGTCCCCAGTGTAGGTAGCATACCGGTCTTTCTAGACTGGTTAACATCCATGCTTTACCTCTCTCATCTGTTTCTTTCTTGCCGTCTTGCATATATTATTCGAAAATAAGTACATATGCTGCGCGTGTCGAACTGGCCCCTGTTGCACCCGAAGGTTCTCTGCATCCCAACTGCTGCTACTCTGGAGTTGAGTTGTTGTTGGGACCACGCCATTACCCACACCGGGGACCCAGGTGGAAGACGCTAAGCATGAAAACAACTGAAGAGGAAAACTTTGCAGAGTTTTTTTTTTTTTTACAATGTTCACAGGCGAGCACTTCGCCACACTACAAACATCTAGACGAATAGTTCGTCGTACATCGTGATGATCTCGTGTCGAAGGCTCTCGAAGCGCCCCGCAGAGATCGGTTATGAAGGCTCCTTTTTCCCCAGATCTAGGGATAAGGGAATGACTCCGAACGACGCTGTCCAATCATCACTGGACACGCCATTTTCGACGGTGCTGCCCACACCCGCCCAGGTAACGTGTTTGACAGGGGCGTAGCGACGACACCATAGCTTTGGCGTCAAGGTGCTCCGTGTTTTAGGTTAGAAAACTACTGGGCGATGGGTGCCTGCTCGTACTATCGTTTGCATCAAAGGGTCACTGCTCACCACGCTCAATTAGCGAGACGGCGCTGTCATCCACGCTGACGCCGCTTTTTCTTCAAGGATGGTGTCGCCACCGAAACAATTTTGGTCGTTTCATTGTGCACATTGCGGCGTCGCGATTTCATGTCACCTCACTTCATCGGTTTGAAGGACAATACACATTTATGGACGGCTGTCGCCAGTCCCGCATCTCTTCAGCGACTTGTTCACAGAACCAGGAACACTCCTTTCTCTTTGGCCCAGGCGCTGGTCCTAACTCTGTTCGGCGTATCGGAATGCGTGAAAGGGCGAAACATAGAAAAAAAAGAAATAAAAGAAACAATAAAAAAGGAAGAAAAAGGAACCGTTAGGCAAATTACCAAAAGGAAGCAGGGAGAAATTAAGGCAAGAGCATAACAAGTTAGAAATGTGTAGAAAGAAGGAGACAACACTAACAGGAACAGACACAGAGAGAAAAAAAGATACAGAGCTAAAAATTAAATAGAGGTATAGAGGTAAAGAAGCAGTGAGATAAAAAGATTAAAATAAAGATATAAAGATAAAGAAACCATAGAAAGAGAAAAAAACAGACACCAGAGAAATATGGCGAATGAAAACAGAAAAAAAAATGAAAAGATTATGTGGAAATGGGGAGAGAAAAGGCAGGCTGACAGAAACGTGGGAAAGAGGTACAAGTAGAGATAGAAAGTGTGAAATAGGAAAAAATAAATACATGGGAATAAATGGAAACAATCCAGTACGAAAAAGACAACGCAAATACAGCGACCGAAAAAAGCCAGGAGAGCAAGAAATAATGAACAGGAAGAAAGACTGCCACCCAGCTATGCTGTTACTTTAGGCTCCGCTACCATGCCTTTCAATTTGGAAACTCTAGGTAAATATGCCCACTAGAAAAGTTGTGTTTTCAACAAGCAGGAATATTTCATTCATCCTCAGATAACTCTCAATTTCTTACGTTTAAATATAAACGAAGACATTTTACTCAAGCGAGAAATGGTGCAGTCGAATAAACATATTAAAAAAATAGTTGGCGAACTTTCTAAAGACCCACATAGACAATTTACTGCAGCATTCACAGTAAATTAAGGAGCATGTACAGCGCAAATTAGACAACACAGATTTCGCAGCTCTTTTTCAATTGCGGGCCCATGCGGTTGAAGTGACCTGATCTTACAGGCAATGAAAAGAAAATCGGGGAGGATGTAAATATGAGTTATGTCAAAAAAACGGTGTGGAAATTCGTCCGATTTACGCAATGTGTGCGTTTTTTTTTACAATAAAATTTCTTTCTTTTCATAAGCACAATGAAGCTACTCATGCTAACGTTGATAGTCGATAGCGGTTGCACACGGTACAACAAGCTTACCTTCTTGGCAACTTGGTGTCCCATCTAAATAGTGTTGTAAAAGTCATTCACCGAATTTCGCTTGAAAAAAAAGTGTACTCAGAATTTCATTTTTGTTTACCAGACTCACTGCTATGATGAACAGCCTCTTGACATCTGCACGCCGTACAATGTAAGTCGTCCCTTAATTTTCCGCAGGCAAATATTATTTCACCGTTTAAGAAATGACTGCAAGCATGATATATAAAGTCTGTGCATATGACCACACTTGCACTCCTTGGTTTTTCAGGCAAACGACACGGAGAAAGTACGTGAACAAATCAATGTAAGTGTTTATCAACTCTGATAGTCTTTGTCATCTTCGTCATAAACGCAAGTAAACCCTGAACAAAGCGAAGCATGCTTCTCAAAGTAATCATTCCCTCTGCCTAAAACGTGACCCTTATCGTTTCGTAAACAGTATGGTCTGCATGTGTTAAGCTTGAACTTGGGAATTCGTAAAGCATTTTGTACGAAAATGTGTAATTTAAACAGGCTTACAGCGCTTGCAATTCTGATCACTTCCAGCGCTATATAAATCTATGGCACGTTAAACCCTAACTTCACCAGACTCGTGCGTCCCATTGACATGTATATGTGCCGGAGATTAACACGCATGTGAACTTGTCAACGAATACCTAGCATTTATTCCGAGCAATGAAGAATCACTTCCGGCGTGCTCAGGCTGACGTCACCTCGTTTAAAAGACGAGCTGTGCTCATTGACATTTAAAGTTATTTGCAGTAAAAACGCAGCATGGTACCACGTAAGTGGGAATAATTGTGTTGCCCTTAATTGATGGAGGATGTGCCTCGTTGTGCCCTAGTTTTTTTTTTTTAAGTTAACGGGCCCGCGACGCAGCAGAGAGACTTGGTTTTTCTGTTTCGACGTGGGAGCGGCCCGCAACGTGCTAAATCGTCTTACGAAGGACCAAATAAAGTTCATTCATTCATCCATTAATTTTTTTTTCTTTACAGTTGAACAGTGAACGTAACTGTTTGCCTACATGCATTAGTGCCTCTTTCAATCGACCTATTGCTTATCACTCCTCGAAAGTAGTGACGTGTTTCGCAGAGATCGAGTACAGGCATTCGATTTCTTCGTACACTCTTCAAATGTTTCCTGTTCAGAGCGCAATTTTTGGTTCATTGTTTTTGTGCTATTACTTCACTTCAATATTTTCTAAGCCTATTTATTTTTAAATCCACACTGGTTTTCTTATACACGTTCATATTTGTTTCCTTGCTGTTTATTTGTCTTATTTGGCGCTACACTACAGTAAGTAAATGCATATACAAACCGAGATTAACTAATGTGGGCTGTAATAAAAATGCTGCGCATTGTCACCATCTCTCAGCAAGCCGCGATAAAGCTTTCAGAACAGCCGATTGCGATTGATAATAGCGTTATTTCATGAACACTCTCAGTGCACCAACTACGACGTCAACTACAAGGTCCTCGCCCTGACACTGGCCCTCGACGCTTCTGTGGCGGCAACTCTCCCAGAAGAAGACCGCAACCAAAGTTACGGTACGTTCCTAAGCGTCCGCAAAAGCCAAAAAAAAAGCACGGTCAATAAGAGTGTACGGTGGGCAATAATGAATCGCATTGATAACCCGTACGTGCTTTCATACACGATATCAATATGGGTGCACTCGGTTCTCTATCAGAGGGCGGAAAGCTCAAGTTTCATCACGATGCCCCTCCCTTCTGCAGGTTGTAGGTCGAACAGTAAAACAAATGTTCACAACCAATGGGAAAACAAAAATAAAGCGAGGTCGTGCTCTTCACAAAGGCCCACAGTTTGTCCTAGGCTTTCCGGGAATGGCGTGGCGTGAACAGTTCTTCGAATGAAACATCAGTGGTCCTTTGTAGTCATAGTAAAAAAAAATCGTGTGTAACCACAACTATAGGCTAAATGTGGCATGAATGCTCTAAGTAAAGATGTAAGGCAGAATAGGTGCCCCCTATAGATGATTAGGGGGGGAAGAATCGCTCGTTCCTGCCCCTATTGCGTGCTCCAATGACAGTGTTGACATCTTACGAAAACGCTCCAGTGGGTTTTCAGGCCCGTAATCACAAAAAAATCTTGGCCTTTTCTCACGTTTTCCTCAAGTTTCTGTACTCTCTGTGGCGTGCGTTATAAGCGCACAGAAATGGTAACAGGGTAGAATATAGCAACAAGGTTTCTTCACGTATACTAGCCTACGTTGAACAGCAAGAGCAATAACGGCTTAAAACCGATGAGGAAAACTCTAGGTAAGGTTGAGGTTGGTTTACGAATACGGGTCTTAAGTATACAATGCCGTCAGTGTTCGTTTTCAGTCAGTTTCACTCGTCAGGCGTAATTTTTCTGTCATTTTTCTGACCAACTTACAAAGCGTGCATTAGTTGCCTCCGACAAATGGAACAACAAGCGCCTGCAACAAAATCTTTCCGTGCTATGTTTAATGGATGTTTTGAAGCAGCAGTCATCCCGACTGCAAAAACAAAGAAAGCTGCGTGGATAAAGTGGAAACCCATCTGTCATGAGTAGCACTACTGTTGTGGTTCGAGAACTTTGAGCTTTTTTTTAGTGAAATAGCCACTTGGTGGAAACAAATTCAAAACTTCAGGGCCAATCTACACACGCGGAGATTCATTTTGGTTAGTTCCCATTTCAGCCTTTCAATTCCTCTCTCAGTCACTTGATCCTTGGTTGAAAAATTCGTCAACACTCAAAAAGCACTAGTCATCATGGTATCTGAACGCAAATGCAATCAAGGGGCTCCATTCGGCAGTGATGATCCTCTAAAGCTGTCATATTTGAGGATCAGCCTACATTGTCGGGGGTTGCCCTCTCCACTGTCCCAATGATGTGCTTGACTTAACCTGGCCGTTATTCTTACATTATCATTGTGTAGGCTCTCAGAAGAGAACAAAATGTCTGGCAGAACTTCTAATACTGGCAAGGCCGACACCGTCAACATTCAATGTCTTCTCCTCATTGCACGCACTTCTCCCCTTGTAGGTGTTACAGAGTTCATTGTGCAGTGGTGTTCCAGTGGATACGCTCTTCCAAGGCATCTCTACAATTACACATGTGAAGAGTACTTGGCTATGGTACCCGTTACCTGTGACGCTCCGGTTACCTTAAGTGTACCTGACGTCAACGGCCTCGGCAAGGTAAAAACAACTACTTCTGTCGTTTCCAGCAAGACTGGTGCTTCAACTTTTCTGTGTTGGAAAAGTTTTATTTCATTGAGGACATTCAAGTAACGCCTCTCTGAAGGCTAGTTTACCTGCCTTCATGACAGGTCACTCTGTCCAAGATTGATGTAAGAACAAATAGAACAGATTGTGTAGATTTGTTTTGTACTTGTCCTTACTGAGTTCGTGGTAGCGCAATAAGACATGAAAAGACACTAAACATTCTGAGAAAAGAACTCCTTGTTCAATGAAGAAGTTGCCTTGATCCAGCTGTTTAAAAACGAGCCAGTGACTTTATCTTATCGTTTTATCGCGCTGCCATATCAGTTCATTAAGTGTTTTTTTTTCTTCTATGAAATTAGCACATTGCAACATATGTGACCTGGCCTTCTAGAACTAAACAGACTTTGACCAGTACGTCACTTCCATAGATTGAAGATGGAGCTAGCTGGTTTAGCATGCTTGCGGACAGAGTATGCGATAACCGCAGAGCAAAAAGCAGAAACACGTGGACGCTGTTCGTGTGTATCCGATTTTTAGTACCCGGTTATTCCCTACGTTTACGGTCTGTAAGGCCTTGTAAGGTCCAGAAATGCATCGCTAATATAGAGCGAGCAGAAGATACAAAATAGGTAACAAATACATTCCTAAAATTGGAGTAGCGATATAGAATCATTCACGAGTGTGTCGGTGCGGTTGCTACTCACTTCGACAGTGTGTGCCTTTTACCAGGTTACATACTCAGATATCTGGCGAATGTCCACCACTTGACTCTGAACTGTCAACGCTAAAAGAGCTTAAAAGCTGGAGTCATAAGCTGAGCAGTTGGTATCATCGCGATTATATCTGATGTGGAGGTGCATGATAACTTATTTACTGATCGATAGTTCAAAACTCGGAAGGAGATGTAACTTTTTGCAACCTAAGGAAAATACAAAGCACGTAATGACAGCTAAATTGGGTGATAAAACATCACCCCATCTTTATTGGGCGCGTCGCTATCGTGTCAACTTTCAAAAGGCCGAGCTTACGTGTCCCCCAATGCTTTTTTCACAGTGCACTCAGCGAAACAAGATTACAAACCTATGCATGGAAGGAGACAGTCTCACTGTAAGTAGGACATATTTTTTGCAGTCACTGTTATTTAGCTTTTCAATTATAGAAGTGACTTTATTAGTTACCTAAGCAACATCATGATTAAGTTCAGCCCGCATCGTATGAGCTTCGGCAAACGTAGATTTCTTATCTTCTGTAATTTTCTTAACCTAAATTTCTACCCAGTCACAATAGAATAGCTGCATTAACAAGGGCTCTGTAATCTACATAAAACTGAAAAAAGGCAACTGCAATAGAAAAAAAATCGTCAGCCTACTCTTTTTTTTTAATATGCTCCGCTTAATTCAATAACAGCTCGCACAAACATGAACCGTGAAGTTGGAATTCATTCATCATCATTCATTCTCAAACATTTCTTTTATCACTATCATTTAGACTTCACTCTACACTTCTAAGAATACTGGATGTCTAAAGCATGCAATTCTAGTTTTGGGTTCTCAGCTTGAAGTTCTTCCATTCTCCCTGCCGTATTTTAAGGCTAATTTGAATGAGAATATAGTTACGAGTGTTCCTTTAATCTTATGGTTGTCTGTGACGGCGTGCTTTTGAGCGCACAAATTTTGGTATATATTACTTGTTTTGTGCTTGTCTCAAACGAATTTTCTATTTTTTTTCAGTGGCAAACTTTTCTGGACCTGATTAACTTGATAAGGGTGCGTTGATCTTCTTTTAACTTTCTGTTAGGCTGGAATGAGAGTGGTTGTGTAATTTAAAAGCATAGGTGCGAGAGGTTACTACATGAAGTAGCTAACAATTTTTTTGCATTTCGGCGTAATTTTGGTGTGCTTTACGGGGGTTAGATCAGCTACAAAAGTATGAATTTAGAAGAGCTGTTTACTCCGTATGGTTACGATAGGTGTTCAAGTTGAATGATATAGTGTTTGCTTCATATGAAATGCTCTTTAATGCGGAACATTTGATTGTCGCACCTTGTCAAAAATCCGGCGTCGGTAGCCCCGGTGACAGCTCCACTGCGCATGCTCACGTCTCGTGTCTCTTGCCGCGTGCTCGCGTCTCGTCAAAACTGTTGCTCCCTTTCCCTTCTCTCGCCTCGCAGGCCGTCGCAGGCAGCATCGGCTAGTGCAAAAACTGACTGCTCGCGCTGCATAACAGTCCACTAGCCACAGCGTATATCTAGGCACTGGGTCACGCGTTCGTATACGGGCGTCTTGCCTTTCGCTTGACTTGACGCTTTGCTCGACTCGAGTATATTCTATGAAAGCAACAGTACCTTCGACAAGTAGTTGGGCCCAACCCAGCATCAGCGTCTCACCACTAGTTGAAGGCAACGCTTCTCTTTCGTTCAATAAGTAAGAATAATGAAGAGGAAATAACAATTAAGCATTCCCAAAGCAAACCCACTTGCGCAATATTCACGTGATATCCCCCCCCCTCCCACTCGGCAGCGCATTTCCTCGAGTTCCCCCTCTGGGAAGATGCGGGCGGCGTTTTTTAACATAAGAGTAAGGGAAGAAGCTGTAGACTGGCCCCAGAAGCGCTATCATTATGTGGAACCATACTGGCTTTCCTCATATATTACCGGGACAGAGTTAAAGGGTTCGTTTCTCACAAATTCCGGCGTCGTTCGTTGTGAGCGAAAATTACAATCTTTGCGCGACCAAAAAATAGAGAAATATACTAAGAAAATTAATAATAAAAAATTCTTGGTATGAGTGCGTGTCAAACCTAGCTTGTTTGCGTGGCAAGCAAGTGTCCTACCTGAAGAGTCACACCTCTGCTTGCGATTAAGGTAAAAATCACTTCTGCTTGGAAATGCCATGAAAGTAACTTTGAAGCTTTACAAACACGCGTCCCGTATACATGCTTCGCAATACAACATGAAATATTGCTGTAATAATGTGCGTTACAAGCGTACATTGCCATCAGGCGTCAGAACATGGAATTATCACAATGACTTTGTGGTTTGAAGCCAGTCACTCTCTACACAAGGCGGACACGTGGCAGCACCTATTCCCTTAAGACCACGTAGTGAGTGCACAGCAAGTTCGAAAAAAAATGCTCGTGGACTAATTGTTGCAAGTTAGCACTTAGGACAGCAGGATCGCTATCGCGTGCAACTCTTATAGGCCCAGCTTAAGGGTCCCCCAATTTGGTTGCTGATGCCAGGTAAAAATATACATACAAAAACGAACATTTCTCAATAGCTTCGAAAGATACGCGATGGTACTACCGATAAGGTCAGTAAAAAAGATTAGTCGTAAGTAAAGAAGAACCAAATGTGTGCATTCAAGCATGGTGTTCATCACGACATCATCCTAATGGTAGCTCCATCAGCCACATGCCTTCCTGCGGTCACCAAACATGGATTTTTTAAAAGATTATTCGCACATTGCATGGAAAAATACAAATGTAGAAATTCATAATGAACTGTTCGCACGATGATATGTGTCACAGTTAGCTTAGTGACCAAAATTTCCAAAAGAACATGTTTTAGAATACGTAGTACGCATTCCTCATATGATGATTTCTGTGGCGAATTTATATGAGGTATCGCACTGCGCGAAACTTCATTTAAAATGAAGCACTAAGAGGGAGCTTAGACGGATATAGTCTTATCCATATGATAACACTAATTATGGTGGCTAAAACACTTTAACTTTTTTCTCATTTCAGTGTGTCTACTTCAGCATCATACCTACCCTTCCATTTCCGGAGTATTGAGAAAGGTGCGACCTCGAAGGACGCACAATGCATCGTACCTTGCGCACCTGTAACCATACCCACCTGTTTGTTTCCAAAGTAAATAAAGTGCACAAAATGCAACGATTGCGCATTGGCTTCATTATTGCAAGACCTTGAGAAATGGTGCGTTGCACGTGCGACGTGGTTATATGCACCTCGAAATAGGCTCTCGTGTGAGCCGTGCGAAATCAGGACGAGCCCATATTCGTAACGAAACCTAACAGCGTGATGAAGATACTTGACGTCCACGGCAGCGCACCACGCAAACGACACGAATAAATGCGCCTTACGTTTTCTGGACATCAGTCTTTGTGGACGAAGAAAAACTAACGCACTTCTTGGAAGTCGAATATTGGAGCCTGCGACATGGCTCTTGCTTGTATATAAAATATCACTTGGCGTCTTTTTCCACTGGGTTACACAGAGAGCTACACTTTTTCGATGGAGGCGAAATGGCTGTAGGCCTATGTTCTTATATTTTGAGCACGTTAAATAACTCTAGGTGGTTGAAAGTTCCGGAGCCCTCCACCATGGCGTCTCCCATATTCATATGGTAGTGTGTGGACGTTAAATCCTACATATCAATATATCAATCAATATATCAATCAATCAATAAATCATTCGATCAGAGAGCTACACTTCATAAAAAAATAATCAACTGAATACGAGAAACGTAGTAACATCCACAAAACATTTCACCCGAAAATCATAACCAAGTGTGTGTTTTCGACTTTCCTGGGGTAAAATTGATGCAGACATTACCAAACGTCAATTTTGGCCATAGATATAAATACTCATTCGGCTACAGCCTACTGCTTTTCGTATAAAAAATTAAACAATTCATAATATAACGTCTTCATACATACACTACTCGTGAAAACAGCTTAAGACAGTTTTGTCCCTGTGAATTGTTCCAATACAGCATGCTAAAGCTGATCTACACGGAGCCAAGCGCACTCTGTTTGGAGTAAAAGTTCGTCTACCTCGTGTCTCCCGTGGTTATCTATCGCGTCGTGATGACATTCAGCCACCGGTGAAGATTTAGTTCTGGTGTTTAAATAGACATTTTTTTATAAACAGGAAGTGTGCTTTCCTTTGCTGCATTGAAAATGGTAGCACAACGATTCAGCATACAAGGTTTTTTCTTACAACGCGCCAGTTTACAAAGCAGAACGAGCACGAACCAGCCACTAGGTACGGGATTCAAAGCTCAAGCTTTTGTTTGTAATGCCCTTCAACTTGTTTAAAGATGCGGAAAGTAGCTCTGCTTACAAGTACCCCACTTATCTTCTTCACAATGCAATGTAGTGCGCCAGCGCTACTCAAACGTATGTTGACTTCAAATACGACGTCGAAACCACCAAGACGTCATGGGAAAGTGGTCTCCCCACAAAGACGCCCGAGTCATTCGAAAAAGGGGATTTTCGTTTTTAATGCGAAACATCTCTTCGCGTACTGAGGCACTTTCGGTGTCTATCTGCGTATCTATCTGGCTGTCTACGTCTGGGTGATCTCTTTATCACCCCCTTAACTTGAGGTGAACTAAAATTAGTATGAAAGGGTATGATGGTTTGACGAATATGATACGCTAGTCATGACGTGAATAGTGCCACAAATCCGTCGCCTACGTCGTCAAACAGTTTCCGCCAAACGGTGGGACACTCACGCAGGTGGTTTTGTGCCCCTGGTGATTAAGTTTGTATCCAGAAATGGCGGCTACAGGCATTGGTAATATAAATGCGAGAGTGCTAGAAAAACTGAATGAGGCATCGTTGATTCGTCAAAACATTAGGGTATCAGCAGGAACTGAACCCAAGTATTCTGCTTGGCGTTCAAGCATTCTACCGCAGAACCATGCCACGCCTCGGCCCTGCTTTGAAAAAATACTATCAGGTACAATGCTGGTAAAACGTCAGGTGTGTTTGCGATTCTGGCTGTCTAGTTTTATAAACATTACATGTGTACTTTATCATTACGACCATCTCGTCGGGTTAACGTGGGCTCTAGTAAAGTACAATGCACCGAAGTTAATTGTGGCCTTGTCGAGGGCCGCCATGCTCGCCAGCACAAGCGTTACCGATACTATCAGCTTACTCCTTCCCGTGTTGCTAATACTGATGCTGATGTTGATATCGTTGTGCAAGTGTAAACAAATGGGGAAATAAATCATGTGCTGCGACTCTTCAACATATACTCACTCGTACAACATACATATTGTGAGCGCAGTCACCGACTCTTCTTTACTAATTGGACGTGTCATTATCATTTGTATAATTTTCTCATTTGTAGATACCATCATCAGTGTGTGCCAGCTCGAGCTCGTCTCGAATAAAGCTCTTCCTCAAAAGTGGTGGAGGTGCTGGTTATCTCGGCTATGACAAAACGTACGACAAAATACGCAGTCGGTTCACCTAGCCTGGCCTCTTATCCACCATTGCCAAATATGTTTCTTCGTGTGCATTATGTCAATGGTGGAAACGACCCACTACTGCTCCTTCTGGCTTTCTCCAACCTCTTCCTTGTCCCGCTTTGCCATTCGAAGTCATCGGGATAGACTTGTACGGCCCCCTTCCCGTGACATCCAATGGAAATCGTTGGATTGTGACGGCTGTTGACCACCTCCCTCGTTACACGGAAACAGCCTCGCTGCACGCTGGTACAGCCACTGAAGTAGCTGATTTTTTTCTGCGTAACATATTTTTACGCCATGGAGCTCCACCTTTTCTGTTCAGCGACCACGGCAAGGTCTTTCTTTCCTCTATTGTTGCTGAGGTTCTACGCGCCACCAACACCATCCGCAAGACAACTTCTACTCATCATCCGCAAACAAATGGCTTGGCGGAACGCTTTCATCGTACTCTCTCGTACATGATTGCCATGTACGTCAACCCTGACCACACGAACTGGGACGCCATTTTGCCATTCGAAACGTTCGCCAACAATGCGGCTACGCAACGCACCACTGGCTTTTCTCCCTATTTTCTGGCCCATGGCCGCTCTCCAAGTTTAACTCTGGACGACTCCTTCCTTTCGGTGCCTGCTACCTCAGCAGACCCTTTATCCTCACAATTTTTGTCCCGCCTCGAGCACTGCCGTCATCTGGCCCAAATCATCACCAGCATCTCTAAGGAAGCTCGCAAGTCTCGCTACGACTCAACTCACCGTGCTGCTACCTTTTCTTCAGCAGACGAAATTCTTCTCTGGACTCCCGTACTTTGCCCGGCCTATGTGAGAAATTCAACAGCAGTTTAGCAGTTTTATAAGACCTTATATGGTGATTGAACAAACGTCCCCCGTTAATTACCGTATATCACCACTTGATGCTCCTCCGACCATCGTTGCCGTGGGACAGAAATTGTGCACGTTTCTCAACGGAAGCTTTGTGTATATATATATATATATATATATATATATATATATATATATATATATATATATATATATATATATATATATATATATATATATATATATATATATATATATATATATATATATAGTAGGCATTCATTAAGCACATCTACTATTTTACACATGTTCATCATCATGAGTGGTCGTCATCTTCATCTGCTGTGGGGAGTTCGCTTGCATGAGTTCTGTGTCTTGGGCGTGGCGTCGCTTCATCGTGTCTGCTGGGCCTAATAAAGGTTGTCTTCACCGTTACATCACAAGTGGTGGAGTGTTCTCTACGATCTTCCGTCCTCTCCCAGCCCGCTCTGCCTCCTGGAGCTCCGCTCAGGTCGTCGTTTGTGCCAGGTGTCTGGTAACATGCCTCAGAACGAACCAACCGGCGCTTCTGCGTCTACCTCCACGGTCCCGGCTGCCGCCGCCTATCCATCGTGGATTATCACCGCGCACCAGCGTGAGCCGCCCATGTTCGCCGGACTTCGAGGTGAAGATGTGGAGGATTGGTTGGACCAGTTCAATTGAGCGAGTTCCACGAACAACTGGGATGATCCTATTAGGCTTCGCCGTGTTTCTTTCTATCTGACAGGCATAGCGAAAACATGTTTTTTCAATCATGAAACGGACACTACGGACTGGACACGTTTCAATCAACAGCTTCGCCAAATTTTGGGCACCCCGGTGGTTCGTTCAGCTCTCGCGAAGAAGACACTGGATGCTCGCAAGCAACAATGCCGTGATTCTTACACATCGTACATAGAGGATGTGCTTGCTCTCTGTCACCGTTTCAGCACGTCCATGTCTGAATCAGAGAGAGTTCGTCATCTATTGAAAGGGATCGGCACGGTCACGTTCAATGCCTTGGTCATACAAAACCCCACCACAGTCGCTGGCGTTGTTGCCACGTGCCAACGCCCAGAGGAACTTGAGTCCCAACGGTTACCACCGGACAGCGCTGAAAACACCACCACGACTGATGCCTCATTGCGTGCCATGATCCGGGCGATTATACGGGAAGAGCTACAATCTTTCGGCCTCTCAATGACACCGAGTCCACCTCCCCCCTCAAACACTGTTTTGCGCAACGTTATCAAGATGAGTTGGCGTCCATGACCGGGCCAGCGTATGTAGACTCTCCAGTACCTCGACTCCAGCCGACGTACGCACAAGTCCTCGCTGGCTCACCACCCGTCGTACAACCGATGCCCGCACACTTGACGCCTGTCCCTCTGGCTTCGTTAACTCCAGTGCGCCTAGCCAGCCCTTTAACCCACCATGGCGGCCGCCTCGTCCGATCTGTTATTACGGCGGGGCCACATTGCACGCGTCTATCGGAAGCGTCAGCAGGACGAGCGTCGTGGATTCTACACCTACGGACGGGATGATGGGACAAGCTGGTACGCTTTCCAACGTCGTCCTCATGATCCGCCGCTACATCGCTCATCGTCCCCAACTGCGACACCTGAGCCAACCACTTCATACCGCTCTACTAGCACGCTCACCCTCACCCCTCCACCGCTCCACGTCTCCATTGCGACCAGTCTCGCAATTCACCAAACAACGCCCGGAAAACTAACCTCTGCAGCTTTTGGAGGAAAAGCTGCATCGAACGAAAGACAGAAATTCCTCCAGTGCGTCCATATAATACGATATCTGTTTTAATAGAAGGTGTGTACGTGGA